ATTTTAACATTTCGTTCGATAAATTGAAAATACAAATAAAATCCGGGCCAAATTGTATCGGGCGTGCCGTCGGTAAACATAAGCGTACCAGAGTAGCCTCTGTTTGGCTCTGCTCTTGCAAAGTCATCTGAAATTTATACTAAATCCAATTTTTTCATCGAACTTTTATTACAAGACAATTTATCTTAGCTACGTTTTTTTTTATTGTTTAGATGGGTGGACGTGCTTACGGCCCACCTAGTGATAAGCGGTTACCGGAGCCCGTAGACATCTACAACGTAAATGCGCCACCCACCTTGAGATATACGTTCTAAGGTCTCAGTATAGTTACAACGGCTGCCCCATCCTTTAAACCGAAACGTATTTTTTCTATTGCTCTTGTAGGCAGACTAGCATACGGCCCACCTGATGGTGAGTGGTTACCGTCGCCCATGGACTTCAGCAATGCCAGGGGCAGAGCTAAGCCGCTGCCTACCGTACTGCTTCACGGCAGAAATAGGCTGGGTGGTAGTACTTAGTCGCGCGGACTAACAAGAGGTCCTACCACCAGTAATTACGCAAATTATAATTTTGCAGGTTTCGTTTTTATTACATGATGCTATTCCTTCACCGTGGAAGTCAATCGTTAACATTTGTTAAGTACGTATTTCATTAGAAAAATCGGTACCCGCCTGCGGGATCCGAACACCGGTGCATTCGTTTGGTTGACACGAATGCACCGGACGTTTTATCTTTTAGGCCACGACGACTTCAAATCCTACAAACTACAATTTAATTTTGTACAGGGAATTCAACATTTCGTGTTTCCGATTTCAGTAAAAGCTTACCAACTTCGATCAATAATAGTACCTTACCAAGCAAGAAAGCTTAAGAGTGTGCAATATAGACGAGCTTACGGCCAGCCTTAACGTTAGTAATTACATTTGCTCATGCACGTCAGCAATATCAAGGGGTACACCTAAGCCGCTGCACACGTCATTAACATTAAATATTAAATCTAGCTAAAATATCTTCAGGACTATATAAAAGTCAATCTAGAAAGCTTAAGCCGAAAGCTCGTTGACCTACAAAGTTCTAGCGGTACTTAGTTCCTTGATTGCCCCGTACTAACTACAAGCTTTTTACGTTTGCCCCGAAACATGGAACGTGACTCACATCTTAATTATATCAAGTGAGTCTGGTAAGTCTCAGATATTTTAAGATTATTTTTTTTTACTCGCTAAGATCTGTCATCGCAGCCAACATAAAGTACAATTGGATATCGCTACCTTGAGTATCTCAGTAAGAATATAACTACTAACCTAATATTCTATACAAGAATGCTTCCTTACTTGAATAAAGCAGCTAGAAGCTTGCAGCTAGAAGTATGCAGAAGCCTGGCCATTATCAGTATAGGTTCCTTTAACATCAATGCTAAATATACCCGATCCTGTGGACCGAATGATAAACAGTCGACGTCGCTCTAAACACGTCATTTCGGATCCTTCCGATCCTTTAACGGTGCTTTTAGGTATCTCAAGCACCGGTCACTGTCCTTGCCGAACGAAGGGTTCGACGAGTACATTAACCCATAGACACAGCCCACTGAGTTTCTCGCCGGATCTTCTCAGTGGGTCGCGTTTCCGATCCGGTGGTAGATTCTGCGAAGCACTGCTATTGCTAAGACCAGTGTTAGCAACACTCCCGGTTTGAGCCCCGTGAGCTCACCTATTAGCTCGGTGAATAACCCCTCGAGGTAACTAGAAGAGGTAGGAAAAAAAGGAAGGAGAAAAAAAAAACAGTGTTTGATTGTGTATGTCGACGATACCCAGAAGTACCAATTTTTCTAATGAAATACGTACTTAACTAATATTCACGATCGACTTCCACGGTGAAGGACTAACATCGTGTAATAAAAATCAAAACCCGCAAAATTATAATTTGCGTAATTACTGGTGGTAGGACTTCTTGTGAGTCCGCACGAGTAGGTACCACCACCATACCTATTTCTGCCGTGAAGCAGTAATACGTTTCGGTTTGAAGGGTGGGACAGCCGTTGTAACTATTCATGAGACCTTAGAACTTATATCTCAAGGTGGGTGGCATGTTTACGTTGTAGATGTTTATGGGCTCCAGTAACCGTTTAACACCAGGTGGGCTGTGAGCTCGTTCACACATCTAAGCAATAAAAAAAAAAAACAACGTATAATAAACTAAGCTGTAAATCATGATTAAATATTGGCAATAATGGCGGTTAGTGCCCATATTATGTACACAGTTGTAAACATACGCAGCAAATACTCGTGAGTTTAATAGAAACATTATTTAGAAAACAACATCGAAGTCTTAGTTAAATGTTGAAGTAATTAATAAATAATGTAAGGAAGTCTGAACATCTTGCTATCTCTCTCGTGCACCGGCCGTATGATGGCAATGACGTCATAAAACATGCGCGTCCTTGTTATTCGACAACTACCTCCACCCTCAGATATAAAACGCAGTTAACTATGCTGTCTTTAAGCTGCTTTTAAATTGTAGCCATTAAATAAAATTATAATATTCTTTAACTTCATAATACGGTTCAAAACCTGCATTAAATAAAGGTTAATAGTTAACCTCTTATTTATCTAAGATGTCGTTCCGAAGAGTTGTTCGATTTTGGGGTTTGCATTTTGAAATCTCCCGCCAACTTGCCCGGTACTCGCGCAATCAAAACTGAGCGCGACACTAGCGCTACGTGTTGCCGCAGTTTGTGCAACATTTGAAAAAGGAGTCGTGAAATCTTTGAGCAGTTGGCGGTAAGTCCGTAATTCTTTAAATCTTTAAAATATCATTAAACTGAGCTATCGTACATTTATGATCATTCGACCGGATTTTACCTGTTACGAAATCAAATACCAGTGATTCAGTATAACAAAAACATAATTATTGTAAAAACAATTCCTACAAAAACTTTTATTCGTAAGTAGGTAGTTGTGCGTTTTTGTGAAAAACATAACTTCTGTGTTTTGTGTTTTACAATAAAGAAATTTATACAGTGATTCATAATATACATCGGCGTTCAGGTATTTAGTATTATTTTCGTTACAATATTAAACTTTATTTCAAATTTGTTGCGAAACTTTTAATACATATACATATCTGACGCCTTGCCGCCATTACTGATAGTAAATTAAATTTCAATAAAATAACCATAAAATATTTTTAGTGATAATTTTTATTGTTTGCTATTGAATGAAATCTTAGAATCTTTAATTTTGTCGTATTAAATAGTTTTTAACCGTAGTATTTTCTTCGAATATTAATTAATTAATTATTAATGTTGTTTTGTGTTACAATTTTACTTGGTAGAACGGTACTTTCTTTTAATATTNAAGCACCGTTAGTGGATCGGGAGGATCCGAGATGACGTGTTTTGGGCGACGTCGACTGCTTTCCATTCTGTCCGCAGGATCGGGAATGTAGTTACCGGCGGCCACGATGAGAGGGTTCTCGTGTCGTGCCGCTTTATCGAAGTGGCGCATCGACGCCGACTGAAGATACTTACTGATGGACTCTTAAGTCCAGGTCGTCTTGGAGGTCGACGTTCCTGACGAACCACGGGGCTCCGACGGCTATCCTGCAAAAACGGGATTGAATAATTTGAAAGGATTTTAAGTGAGTGCGGGCCGCGTGAGCGAACACCACACTTGCATAGGTCATGACGGGGCGTATGCAAGTTTTGTAGAGTGTCACCTTATTTCTAAGGGACATTTTACTTCGCCTGCATAACATCGGGTAGATATAAGTAGGAGTAACATCATATTGTATGGGCTTATAAGACACCCATTTAAAGTAGGATTGGGGGGTATATGTATAATATGTAGATGTACATAATATGAAGAATAATGGATAGATGAAGAAGCAGTGTTGTTATTATAATATTTCATCATTTGTAAAGACGGATACTCGTAATAATTTATAAATATAGCTTTAATTCCCTTGTTTTTGGGTTCACGAAATCAAAATCTAAGCAATAAAAAAAAAATAAAAAAATTGATTGGTCGAAATTAATTCATCGTCCATAATAAAATATATAATATTATAAAGAGGAAAGATTTGTTTGTTTGTTTGTTTCGAATAGGCTCCGAAACTACTGGACCGATTTGAAAAATTCTTTTTCCATTAGAAGCCGACATTGTCCCTGATGAACATAGGCTACTTTTTTTAATTTTTTTTAAATTTTTTTTTTGGTTTCATGTGTGTTTTAATGTTTCCGAAGCGAAGCGAGGGCGGGTCGCTAGTAATAAAATAATAAAACATAAAACATAATCCATAATAAAACATCGAAATTAATCCGATTTGTAATGTTCAATTTGAAGAGCCGATATCCTGCGGATATAAGCCTTATGTCGAGACTCCAAAGTGTCATTTTAGATTTTTGGCGTCTACCCTATATTGTAGCAAATAATGGAACGCGTGATCCACGAGCGAGGTTGTGTCTCCGCCGGGGCAGATTGGCTTCAAAGAAACATAGCGTCTGTAGCGGCCGTCGCCATAGCTCCCTTGGCTACCAAGGTTCAACTTGTTAAGCTAAATGTGACTAAACGTACGGCCATTTCAAAGAAATTATGCAGAAGATTTTAATGAAGCAAAATTAGATTTGCTGCAGTTAGATTTTCATTGCTGCATTCGAAATTTAAATATTAAGTTGATTCGTTTTGATCAAAACGCCTTCCATTACAAGATGAAGAAGGGTATGCATTAATTTTCTGCGTATTTTTTTTTTTAAGATTTCAGACACAAAAATATGCCCAGAAATGCGATTTTTGTCCGGCAAAGGGCAGTTTGAATTTTTTGAAATTTTGATGCAACTTCGTCAATACGTTTTCGCATTGTTAGAAATGTAAAAATACAAACCCAAGTTTCTGATACATTACAAAGTGTAATTTGTGACTGAAATCAATTTGATTGTCCGTTCCAGTAGACATAGTCATAGTAATTGTTGTGTGTAATGTTGTTTTCTTTTTGTTTTGTTCTAGACTTTAGAAATTGCTAAGATAATATACGATAAAGGTTGCCTCGAAGCCGCCGAGGAGTGGTTCGAACACAACCTGTTGATTGTAGCGACTTCGGCTGTATGTATCGCTTTTGCACAAGTAAGTCCCATCTATACGCGGAGTTGCATGTTGTACACGTAACACTTCTGTAGTTGCTCGAAGTAGTAATTAGTTTTGAAGTCGTCGTGGCCTAAAGGATAAGACGTCCGGTGCATTCGTATGTGTAGCGATGCACCGGTGTTCGAATCCCGCAGGCTGATACCAATTTTTCTTATGAAATACGTACTTACGAAATCTTCACGATTGACTTCCACGGTGAAGGAGAGGAGGATAACATCGTGTAATACAAATTAAACCCGCATAATTATAAGTTGTGTAATTACTGGTTGTAAAATCTATTGTCAGTCCGCACGGGTAGGTACTAGCACTCTGCTTATTTTTGCCGTGAAGCAGTAATGCGTTTCGGTTTGAAGGGTGGGGTAGTCGTTGTAACTATACTGAGAACTTAGAACTCATATCTCAAGCTCAATTCATACAAGCTCCACTAACCACTTAACGTTAGGTGGGCTGCGAGCTTGTCCACCCATCTAAGCAATAAAATTAGACAAAAAAAGTTGGGGAGTCGAAATTTGTTATTTTTACGCGTTTCTTCTTAATGACCGACTAATGATTGAATGAATTTTTAATTAATGACAATTCTAGTGATCTGATTTGAATGATGACGTTAACATTTTTATTTTTAATAATATATATTTTAATTTAATCCGGATAGCACTATTTATAATTATATTTTCGATAAATGGCTCGTTTTTTGTGAAATATCTCGGTACTTTGATATTTTAACACGCTTTTTTTTAGCTGGGCATGTATTATATATGTGTTGTATTATGTATGTGTTTGTTTGTATGCGACGGTATCTTTAAACATTATTTTCACTTCAAAACGTCCGATTAACTCGAAAATTTGCACACGCAATACAATCATTTATATAACTTCGCTCTGATACCGTGACCATTAAAAAAATAAGCTTAAATTAATTGTAATATCGGTTTGCCATTCAAGCGCTTAATGTTGAAAAAACTACATTTTTTTTGGTTTTGTTTAGATTACGTAATACGTATCAATGAAGAGCAGTATTCATTTAGGAGATAATTGTCGAAATTTAATTATTTTTTCTTAATTCACCAGATCCTGGGTATATGCTTTGCTCAGAACCTACGAGCGGACATCTTCGCTCAGATGGCGAAGTGGCACTGACAATCAGCCTCTCCTGCAGCGGTGTGACGCGACCGCCGCGCCACCGTTCCCTACGCGATGCTCTGCGGACACGCACCGATCGATTCTGAACTCTGACGGTAACTATTTAAGATCGAGTTCTCTACAATACGCCTGATGAACTCGTACTAAGTCGCGCGATACGAACGTATGTGTAGGCGAACGAAGATTGAAGTGACTAAATATTGATGTTGTCGTCCCTCTTTAACTAGTAAACTTTATGACGGACTTCATCTTCTCTCCCTCTCTTTTGTTTTTCCCTTTCGTCTCATTCGACATTTAAATTTGGACAAAAAAATCAAAATCGGATCTGATTGTGGCGAAAAAATCTCTTATAAACTTATTCGTGTTTAGTTTTATTATTTGAAATGAATGAAACTTGCTTAGCACTGTTGTGATTTAAAATGCGATGAAGCGGAAACAACACCAGAAACAAACTTTTTTTTTTTCCCAAGCTGGTAACCTCGGGGCTTACATCTACAGGATTTAGCCAGCGAGAGAATGAGATTGAATACTAATGAAGGTTTCACTTCTACCCCGTGTGTATTACATCGATTTTTTTTAAATCCTTAAATGATTGCGTATATTAAACTAATCACATTACCATATCTTAAATTTGAAAAGCTGTAATCATTGGGTAAGAGGACCATTCCCGAAACTGAAACAGTAATATAAACGAAAAATAACTTGTGTTCCGTGGAATTATGGAAATTCAACTATATTCATTGCAATTTAAGATTTAGATTCATTCTTCTATTTATTAGCTTTTCTCTTGTTGTTTTATTATTGACATTATAAAAAATATCACACTATAGACAGAAGAGAAAAATGTACTAAGCTATTTTTCTGTTTGTCTATTATGTTGTAATTGGATTCGCAAAGCTAAATCTAGCTAAATATTTATCGGCTTAGCAAATTCATATATTCGTGAAAGCGTCAATGTAAAGCGAATTTTCAAATGTCGTACATTGCGTTCAGTACTAGTGCATTCGTTGAATGTTCTTAGGCAATGGTTGCAATGGTTGCAATGGTTTTCAGTTCAGGAATCGTACTCTTAACGTACAAGACACATGGCCGAATGCCGTTCGGTTGTTGTCACGCCAGAATTTGCAAGCTCGAGGCGGGACCGTAAATTGTAAGTTTTTCTGCAAGACGAAGGTGTTATCAATCGAAATATATTGAAGACTAAATTCAGAATACTTTATATGTGACGTCATTACCCTAAAACCATTTATTATGTCTGTATTATTTTGTTATATAGTATATAACATTGTTACACATTCAACAAATAAATAGAACTAAGTTATGAGGTACGAATTCCATTTGTATTTGTTGGTAAGGAAACCAGCAACAGTCATTTGATTACTTTTTGATGGATCCCTTTGTCTATATACAATGAACTAATTGGATGAAAAAACATTTGACAGTGACATTTTGTACTAGGAAATTGCTTCTTTTTTTTTTAAATTTCCGCTGACACTGTTTAATGGAATTCGCCGGGAAACACGCACATTAATAAAGTAAATTTTTTATATTGCTCGTTTATATACGACGTTAATGTTGTGAAGAGATAATGTAATTATTTATATGAAAGTTTTAGCCATACCGTAAGTGATTAATGTGAAGAAAAAAAAACTAATTACCTTCCAATGAATTGTTCTGTCGTTTCTCTTCTTCATAGGTCCCTTGTTGTCTGTCACTAATGTTTCACGTCTTGTGTTATTCCGTCTAAAAATTTTAATATTAGATTGTCAAAATGCGTTGGTGGGACCGATTGGTTCTGAAAAACACAAATAGTTATGTAATTTAAATGTTTAATTAAAAACATGACAGTTCTGCCAACTTTAAAAAAAAACAAGTATATGGGGTCATTCGGGATGATGTTAAGCCTCCTTTTTGGGCGGACGTGTGATAAATTACAAACGAGTTTGCTCATTTTACGCAAATCGATTTCTAAACCATTTCATTCAAAGAATTAGATGAAGTGTATTTTTGAATTCAGATTTCGGAGCCGATCGTGTCCTAGAGAGTGATGTGTTCAATAATTGCCAACATTAGCCTTAAAGGGAGCTGTGAGATGAGTTAGGTCGTGGAATTTTAGAGTATTGTACATTATGAAAGATTATTATATATTATAAAACGATACGATATATTTATAATTGAATATGCAATTTCGAAAAGGGCACATGTCGCATATTTTGTCAAATACGTTTTTTCATATACATGTACTTTTGAGGCTTACCTACACCCATTTTATAATAATTCCAGTTATTTTCAATTGCTAATTAACACTAAAATATATCTCAAAAGTTAATATGTATTTTAAATTTTACACTGCTTTAGAAAATAATCAGTTTTTTTTTCATTTCCTGAACATTTTACATTGTCAGAGATGTGCCCTTTTCGAAATTGCATATATTCAATTAAATTACAAAAGAATAATTTATTTACATTTAGCACGTAAAACAATGTCGGTTTTTTTTTTAATGATTATTGTGAGCATAGCCTGAGAAGTCAGTTGAGGAATATTTTTCGGGTCGTCTTAGGCGAGTGCGATCATAGCGAGTGCGATCATAGCGTTTCGTTTTAAGAGCATCGTTAGGGATCGAGTGAGGTAGCAGGAGAATAATGGCTGAACATAGTTTAAGTAAAAAAAAAAATAGTTTTAGACGAATTATATTTTGAGACAGCTAGATATTAATGATACTCACTTAGACTTAGGCTTGTATTGAACGTAATTATAGGGGATTTTTCGAATGTTCTGGATTTGGCAAGTTGAATTATCCGGCGTTTTTTTTTTACATTCAACCTTCTGTTTTCAGTACATGATAAATTAAAAATAAATAAATTAAATTAATTCGATGTTGGCTTCCAAACATTTGTTTTATATGAGTCGTCTATTATCAAAGGTGGCAATCTGTGCATTTGGACAAAAAAACGTTATTGATAAGTCAATACGGATTGATTTGAAATAATCGTCTCCTTCAAAGAATACGGTTCAAAACCTGCATTAAATAAAGGTTAATAGTTAACCTGTTATTTATCTAAGATGTCGTTCCGAAGAGTTTTGTGACTGCCAATGGAATACAAAGTCAATAATTCGTTTTTCTGATTTACCAATAATTATCCAAAAGTCAGATTGCCGGCTTTGATAATAGTCGACTCATATATAAGAATTTATTAAACATTGAGATCGTATATTAGTAGGTTATTTAGATCGGTGTCTTGATTTTAATTTTATTTTTTATTTTTTTTATTTTCTAGTAAAAATACTTAAAAAACAAACACCTACACTCGTATTAAAGTAATTCGTTGAGAAAGAATTGCTAATGCGGCTTATGTATAGTATTATTATGTATAGTATTATTAACTTTTGCGTTTCGTAAATTCAATTCAAAAACTAATTTTGTCGACCTGCTAACAACTTGGATGCTCGTCACCGTGAAAACTGCAATGTATTCAAAATAAGTCGGTAACAATATAATGATATATAATAAAGTACTTTTAATTATATCGAGTGGTGAAAGGTTATTTGGCTTAAGCGACATTTATGCATATTTACGGAAGAGCAATTTCAAGTTTAAAAATTTGGAAAAAATATCATAACAAAAAAACTTCTTCAGCTAAAAATTTTAATGGGGTAAACATAATTGAAGTTCAATTAAAAGCATCGAACTATTGATACTAGTATTAAATAAATCGGACCTTTAATTACAAAGATGAATGTAGCGTATTAAGCGAAATGTCGCTTAAACCAAATGACCTTTCACTCCTAGATCGTATTTTTGCATTAAAAGTGTACAATTTTCAAAAGTATTCGAAATTGAGTTAATACGCGGAATCATTTGGTATCACCAGTATTTTTCTCACAAATGCTGTCAAAAGAGCATAGATTAGTTTTTTTTTTTTTAGTATATCTACCTATGTTTTAATAGACAGATAATGTAACTGGTGAAAAATAAATGTTGCAAAGATGATTAATATTAAATTAAATATTATATTAAATTAAACCTAAAAAACACTCTCCTGTGAAATTAATAAGTTTTGAGATTATCCAGTTTTAATGCGAGAAGACGATATGTGACGAGGTTTTCAAACGAGACTTTTTTCAACTAGAAATCTCCAATTGAATCTTAATACATTCCTGTTTATCATCAGTAAATGAAATAATGAATCTCAAAAGCATGCCCATATCGGTTTCGTAATGAATTCGTTTGAATTCCTCCACAAGATTCTCAAATACTTATGATAAAACTTTTGAACTGTAAGAATTGTATTATTTTTTTTGCAAATGAAGTTCCAAGCGAAACGATTCCTGCCCAGTATTGTAATAAGGTATTTTAATGTAATAGATTATTTTTTAATATTTAAAACATTCTGCTGAAATTATTTTGCGGTCAATTTTTGTCGTGCCTTCATTAAATATATATTTGTAGTCACATGATATTCTAACTTTTTTTTATTAGTAACATAGCGTTTTGAATAAACTTGGTGAGCGAAAGTATGTTTTATCACTTTGCTAACATCGGTCGATTAATTTTCTATTATTGTTTTCCCTTGGCTATGCGCTGGTAGCTTAAGAGGCTAATCAAGCAACGCGCGGACGGGTATGTGAGCTCACGGGTTCAACCTGAGAGAATGTGCTAACACTAGTCCTAGCAAGAGCAGTGCTTCGCAGAATGTACCACCGCATCGAAATCGCGACCCACTGAGAAATACCATATTAACTGCGCCACCGTTTTCTTCAAACTAAAATAACTAAGACTATAGAATTCTCTGTATGAAAAACGTGTCTTTAAACAAAAAAAAACCGCTGTACAAAAACTCCGAAAAAGTACATAAATATTATATGCATTTACGTATTATATAACATATGAATCTGTGGTGTAACCAGTGCTTTGTAATATTAATTTCAGCGCTCTATTAATGATATTTTAACTAACATGATGAAAAATATACATGATATTTTGAAAAGATTAATTACTCTAAAATAAATTTCTGTGCCATCGCTCTGCAAATTTAGAATCGGCCATTAAATCATTACATGAATACTCTAATCGTTTTTTTAATTTTGTGGTAAAATTAACAGCGACTACATTTTGTCATCTCACGGTCTTATTCAGAATAAAACGCCCATCAAAAGTACAATTAATATTATCGGACTGTTAACTAATGTTTTAGATCTATAAAGAATTAACAGTTGGCAATCGTCTTAAGACCAAAATAGTATAGAAGTCGCTTAGAACTGTTGTTACTATATAAAAAAAAACTGCTTTTAGTTATAATATATTATAAAGGGTGTATTGGAATTTAACAAGAAGTAAAAACGGGCTAAAAGTTTAAAAAAAATGTGTATATAACATAATAAAAAAAAGTGAAGCGATGTTACATCTTCTTTACATACATTAAAAAATTACACTACATTTCTATACATGTTAGTTCCGATAAACTTGAATGTGAATACTTTTAAATATATTGCGATCGCATATAGTTCTGAAGCCGCAATATAATGGAAAATAGGAAGACTACAGATTCCACGCGTTGTATTTAATTTTGATCATAGTCTATTATCGTTTCGCATTTGTGAATGATTTCAATACACCCTGTGTAAATGCGTTTGTATTATGTAACGTACTCATAATAATGTAGCGTAGAGATTATATTGTTTTATTATTATACATGATTTAAATAAACATTATATATAAAATAAATCATTATGTATTTTAATCTTTTTGTTTGTGTTTCAATTATTATGTCCATTTCCCTGTTCTTTGTTTACTTGTGTTTTGACTGAGATTAGAATAAAATAAGATTAGAATAGAGATTGGAATAAAATCTTTACCTTTCATTCAACATTGAGGATGAAAATGCAAACATATTTTCAAGCCGAAAATTTTTGGCCAAATATTCGCGCGTCTGGACACCGATTTTAGGTGTGGCTATTTCCTCTTTAAGGTATTTCAAACGACGAAAGTTTTTTTTTAAAACTAGTAGAATTAGCCTTGATAGTCGTAGTAGAACAATGCGACTATCAAGGCGTTCGAAATCCGCACGAATGAAAAAAATAATTTCAAATTTTTTCTAATGAAATACGTTCTTAACTCGTACACGAATTGCTTTTACGAAGAAGAAATACCATTCTGTAATCAAAATCAAACCTCAAATAAAGTAGGATTTGCGTAATCACTGGTTGTAGGGCATTTTGTGAATCTGCACGGGTAAGTACCGGCAACGGGTGAGGGTCGCTCTGTGTATCGCAGTTCTACGGAGCTGTTAAAGAGCAACCGGTTGGCGGTGTATCGCGTTCCTACAGATCTGGTGGTAGATTCTGTGAAGCACGGCTCTTCCTAGGTTTCGTGTTAGCAACGTCATCAGGTTTGAGCCCCGTGAGCTCACCTACTAGTTAAGGTTACGCTGAAATAGCCTCTCAAGGCTCTCAGCCTAGGTAGGAAAAAAAAAAGATAGTCAACGGCTCTTTTTTTTATCCTACCTATGCTGATAGCCTTGAGAGGCCATTTCAGCTTCGCCATAACGTGTAGGTGAGCTCACGGAGCTCAAACTGGAGTGTTGCTGACACTGGCCCTAGCAAGAGAGGTGCTTCGCAGAATGTACCACCGGATCGGAAACGCGACCCACAGAAGATTCGGCGAGAAACTCAGTGGGCTGTGACTGTGGGCGTTGACTATCACCTCGACGTATCTGTCGGTCGGACACCCTTGGAGAGAGCTGCGCGTCTTACTGGCCGCGGAATCTTCCTTAACTTACTTGGATCCTGTCTTGAACGGTATCGCACTTCGGGCTTAGCGGGGAGTCGTTTAGTGGTGGCTTACCTTTAACATCGTCTACCACGTGCCACATATCCCGCGCGTCCCTTAAGCGTGGGAATCTATTAGGAGATTCGGTCTTTGGCTCGAAAAAAAAAGTGATCGCTAGCCCACTTATTTTTAATTTATATTTAATTGAGATATTTGACTATAGAATTGAGGCTTAGAACTCGTGTCTCAAGTTGGGTGGTTGGTTCTATAGGTGGTGAGATGGTTAACCCATTTGAAAAAAAGGATCCCTGAAAGTACCTGCTATTTTTTTTCTAATTTCAAATAGTAATAATAAAGAATCGATAATCGTAGTCGC